AATATTTTAAAATGGTATCGCATCAGAAAATCGGCTTCGTAGCTATATCGGTTGATAATCTGTTGAACAGCATCGCTGAACAGATACGCGAGCGGAACGAATTAATGGAACATTGACCTGAAATATAAAATAAAGAATGCGAACTCATATAATTTACGAAATGGAACTTATCACACACATTAAGATGTCTACAATTATTTCAACTCAGAACTTAATGATTCTTATTAAATTTTTCTGTATTAATTTTTCTGTATTAATTGTAACATTGAAAAAAACCCAATTGGAATCGAAACGTATGTTTTGTTTACGTAATTTTTATATTACGAGTACTGTACAAGCGATTTTTATAATTTGTGCTCTTGAAGTCTCACATTACGAACATGGAAAATAATTTTTGTATTGTTTCAAAAGACTACTTTAAATTCTATAAACATGAGTAAAGTTGTCATAAAGTTATTAAAATATCAAGCTCTAATAACGAAAAATTTAACTATCGATACCCTACTATGTACGTATAAATCATACTTCTTGTCTTCCTTTCCTTTCCTTTCCTTTCCTTCCCTTCCTTTAAACCTTTCTGTACCTCAGTAACCTCAATACGTTCACACGTGTCTACGTCAAAATCTCCGCGATGACAACTGCTCACGAAGTAAGCGACGCGAGGGAACGCGTCCATTTGTTCCATCCTGCAAAAATAGGCAAATTTGGAATAACTTCGCCTATTGGAATAACGCGTCCATTTGTTCCATCCTGCAAAAATAGGCAAATTTAGAATAACTTCGTCAAAAATCATCGTATCGAAATATTTAAAAAAGCATTTTAAAGCTTGAAATCTCAGCTTTTCAGATCTGTACTTTAAGAAACAATCTTATTGATATTTCGTGAAGTTACACAAACAGAAATAAAAGTGCGTCAAACCTAAAAATTTTATACAAAATTTATCAAGTTCCACAAAGCTAAGTAAAAATTGTGCACAAATGCCGTTTACAGCTTTCGAAAGATTCACTCTTTCAAAAGCTTTAAGTTATATGAAATATTCAGATAATGCTGATATGTGTGTATTTATATTCAATATTCTGCATATGTATATTATAATAAACACATTTGTACAATATAAACACAACAGAAATGTAAATACACAGTCATAAAAGACTCGTACTGAACATTCATGCACATATTGTCTACAAGCAATATTAGAATTTTATTTATATTATATAATGAATGTATGTAACGATTCTTTGTACTGCCTTTTTTTTTTATTTTTACTAAACAGTAGGAAGTGAATTTTGAATCTTCTCGATTTAATGTAACCGTCTGACGTGATTGTTGATTTGATATCTCTTTGGTACATTCACACATTTTAAAATCATCAAGCACGCTTCCGATTTATGGAATTACCATGAAAAATAATGGATTTATTTTTACTACACTTAATATAATTGTAAAAAAACTGATTTTTTGTACTGTCTTTTTTTTTCAGATTGAAAGAAAAGGCCTGTTTTTTTATTTTTACAAAACACTAGTAGGTGAACTTTGAATGAATCTTCCAGATTTATTTAATGTAACCGTCTGACGTGATTGCTGACCTGATATCTCTTTGATACATTCACACATTTTAAAATCACCAAGCACGCTTCTGATTTTCATGGAATTACCACGAAATTATTAAAAGATCTCTTCGATATCGTATCAGATAAGTTTTCTAATATTTGTCCTCTTTTCTCTACATAATTCAAAAAGTATTTTCAGATTTATTGAAAGAAAAGGCCTAATCCAATCTGTCTGTATATGGGTCATTCCATGCTAAGTGGGCCACTAAAAACTTTTGGATTTTTGATTTGGCTGAAATTTTGATATATTATAGTACCCATCGCAAGAAGCTACCATAATTTTTTTCAAATTTTTTTATCAACATAGTCATGAGATATGAATTTTTTCAAAATTCGCATATTTCAAAATTCGCAATTTTCAAATGCCTATAACTTTGCGAAAAATAATCCAAACAAAACGTTTTTTTTTTAAATTGTGTGTTTTTTTCTCTAGTTTTCAAAAAAAAAATATCAAGAAAAGTTTCAAAATTGTTTTGTAATTTTTTTTGTAATTTAATGTAAAAAATAAATAATTTTTTAAAGTATGACACTTTTAATTTTTTTAAAAAAATTCTCATAAAAACTTAGATTTATTTGATGATTTTTAAGACTAATTTGATCGTGGGCAAATTTTTCCTTCTATTTTTTTTCGAATTAATTTTTTTTTAATTTTGTATTTTTTACGCAATGGAATAATAAGAAATCATGATTTTGTCACGATCTACAATTTTTTTATTTATTCTCAATATAATAAATATAACTTTGATATTTTTACAATATTTTTTGAGAAATTGGGAGTTTTTCTTATAATTAAAAAATCAATAAATATTTTTCGAGAACGTATCAAAATTTATTTTCTTAAACGTTTAAATAATTTACATACTCTACATTCCTCAGAATTAGAATATTCTTTTACAGTAATACAACCATTTTTATTTGGTTTGATACAATGTAATTTTTGAGTACCTGAAATTGTTTTTGTGTTTTTATATCGATCATTAAGTTTTTCTGCAGCTTTAGTATAATCTTCCAATGATGAAAAATAAACAGTTATGTTTGAAATATTGCTTGATTTGGAAGCCCATGCATACAATTCGAATGGAGTGGTTATTTGTTGATCAACTGGTAATTGTAGACTAGCGCGTGCAGCCATCCTTTTTATTGTTCCACCAATACCATCACAAGGGCCTTTACCAGTAGCAAAAAAATGCCATTCAGCTGATATTTCGAAATCATTTTCATGATAATAGATGTTGACAAAATTTTTGAAGTTTTCGAATTGTTGTGGTGCTCCATCAGAAAAGTAATATATTTTCGCAGCTCTTCTAAAAATACTTTTCACAAAATTTGTTGTTATTCTACAAAAAACATGTACTGCAACTGAATCATGTTTATTACAATCTGATATTATAACTAGGCTTTCGTGAGTGAGTTCGTTGTTTACTTTGAAGTAAATTACAACTGGAAAAATAGTTGATTGGTTATTATTCCAATGAAAGCCTGCCGTAGCATTTTGCACCACAAAAGCATAATTTTCAGCAAAGTCACAAATAACGAGAAATTCATCTTCTTTCAATGATTGTTTTAATGATTTCATGAAACTTGCTTGCTCTTTAGCAATGTACGAATGCGGTAAAAGAACTTTCAAATTATTGCAAAACAAGTCAACGAAATCAGTTGATGATTTTATGGTCGTTTCGAGATTTGTATGAGGATTGGCGATCCAATGTTTATAAGTAATATTATCGATTTCATTTTGGTCAAAAATCTCATTCAAAATCTCACTTAATTTTTCCGTTCCTGGACAAGCATTACATTTACCAAAGTAGCATTTAAATGATGGAGTTTCACATATAATTGATTTCAAGCAATCGTTATAATGTTGTAAAGGGATTGTTGAATCTTTAGTCAAAGAGCTCAAGTTAGCACCTAAAATAAGAGATACATTTTTAAATCAAAGTCAAATGATTTGAAATATATAAATTTTATTTATAATTACCTAGCACCATTAGTTTTATATTCTGATGTAATGCACAAACACAGATAGTGTGTGTGCCGCTTCCTCCTGCCAGCACACAATTTTCAGGACGAAGGGAAGCAAACTTTGAAAAACCTATTTTATCAGCAAGATATTGTTCGCGATATCTTTGATATAATTCTTTTATATTTGAAAGAATTAACCGCTTTTGAACATGTACTCGTTTACCATCGTTATCCCGAACTGAAACATAATCTTTTTTACCCGGCATATTGACACTTACTTCATCGTCAGTGTAAAAACTGTGAACTTTTAATTTCAATTCCTTAGTAAGAGGTCGTCCTAAAGAAGAAAATTTTTAATGACAAAATTTTGAAAAAAAAAAACAAATTAATCAATGGAAATTAATATAACTATACCTAATTTGGATTCAGGTGTCGAAAGCAAGCCTTTAGTTTCAGCCAGATCTTTTGCAATTTGTACCATACGCCTTGAAGTATGCATAATGTTACTAATTTTTCTTACACTCCATTTTGTAGGTAACAAAGTTAAAATTTGAAATTTTTCAGATTTTGTGGTGCTGTCGTCGTGAAACTTTCTTTTTAAGCGTTCAAACATATTACAAAAATCTTCCTCAGTAATTTCATAATTTGGCTCATGATCACTAGTAATTCCGAAAGTGTTCTTTAGATTGTAACAAATTTTTTGGACTTTACGATTTAAAAAAACATCATTCAATTTTTTTGACGATATTGGAGATTCATTTAAAAGTTGTAAAGCCATATTCATGACAGGTAACCGACTTTCAATACTAATTTGAGAAGTAGTACTTTGTTGGGAAGATAATCTTTCATTCTCAAAAAATGCGTTTCCTAAAAAAAAAAAACGGAAATTAATTTTACGTTGAATGACAAAAATAAATAATCAACGTGTATTTAACAATTTTAAAAAAGTTAAGATTTGTTTGAATAATATTTACCTAACGATTTTTTCAGAGCAGTGTTATCGTTGTCATCGTCACGAGCAGTAATTATATTATTATCAATACCATCATTGTTTTCATTATTGCTGTTAGGAAATAACTCAGGATGCCAAGGTGAATCAACAACTCAAATATCTTGCTTCTTCTTGTATTTTGCTCGCGTCTGATGCGAGAGATCTTTCGTGCTGTCGTGTCGTTGCACACAAGAGTTAGTAGTAATATACGCCGCTAGCGCTGCACCGCTTTTTCAAAATGAGACAATGTAACGAGCCGGTAAAACAGAAACGCGTACAAATTATCCATCCCGGCCACCTTGAAGTGTATCTTCAAAATAACTAAATAAACTTAATGTCTAAATTACACTGTAGTCGTAGTATCTAAATCGCAGATGTGAACTTACACTAAGTACATACAGACAACATAATAGCTACACGCAATAAGTAATACATCATTAATCAATTGGTAACACACAGATTTTCGGCAGTGAACGTTGGATAACTCCTGTTGTAGTTTTCAAAGAAACTACTCTTATTAGACCATCAGGGCCCGGATGAACCTCGTTAATTCTGCCCGTGCGCCATTTCAGAGGAGGCAGATTCTCGTCGCGAATCAATGCTAGTTTGCCTACTTGAATCTCGTTATTGCATGCAGTAGTTTTCCATTTGTTTCTTTGTTGCATTTGAGTAACATATTCTCGAGACCAGCGCTTCCAGAATGATTGCTGCATCTGAGTCAACAATTGATAACGATTAACGCGGTTTACTGGAACGTCCGTCACGGATGGTTCCGGCAATGACAGTAATGATGTTCCGATCAAAAAATGTCCGGGTGTCAGAACGTCTATTTCGTCCGGAGAATTATTCAATGGACATAAAGGCCGTGAATTAAGAATGGCTTCAATTTGAACAATTACCGTATAAAGTTCCTCAAATGACAACAACGTGTCGTTAATGACTATTCTAAGATGAGTCTTTACCGCTTTCACGTTTGCTTCCCATAGTCCTCCCATATGAGGGGAGTGAGGTGGAAGAAATTTCCATGATATTCCTTGATTTGACGCAAAATCAGTGATTTTTGCTTGATGTTCAGGGTGTGATATGAATTCACCAAATTGTCGCAGCAGGTTGCTTGCACCCACAAAATTCTTTCCATTATCAGATAGAATGGACTCGCATGGGCCTCGTCGAGAAATAAATCTTTTGAGCGCATTTAAAAACGTTTCCGTTGTGAGGTCAGAGACTAGCTCGAGATGTACCGCCTTAGTGGCCATGCAAACAAAAAGACACAGGTAAGCTTTACCCGATTTAACTAAGGTTATGTTTAGATAGCTGTCAAAAGTTAGAAAATAGTGCGATAGTGGCGCACACAACGAATAATTTTTATAGTTAATTAAACCGATATTTTAAAAAGTTACCGACTTAGGATACGGTTACACTTTTGCATGCAAGAAAGGACTAAGCGAGTTACTAAATTTGATTGGATTTGCCCATAAAACTTTCCTACTACGTTTTGTGTTTCTATGGGCAAAACTAATCAAATTTATTAATTGTACATATAAGCTTAATTCTTGCATGCAGAAGTGTAACTGTACTCTTACAAATAAGATTGGACAATAATAACAATATATAAAAATGAAAAATTATATTGTGAAAAAATTCATAATAAGAAAACGATAATTTTAGTATAAAAGTAATATCAATCACGGAAACACTTTTTTTTAATAGGTAAATATAAAAAAATAAGTTATTACATTGAGAATAAACCGGAAATTTTAGGAAATGAAAAAGTCACGAGTTTATATCTATATATTATTTTATTGTGCAAAAAAGTACAAAATTGAAAAAAAAATTAATTCGAAAAAAAATAGAAGGAAAAATTTGCCCACAATCAAATTAGTCTTAAAAATCATCAAATAAATCTAAGTTTTTATGAGAATTTTTTTAAAAAAATTAAAAGTGTCATACATTAAAAAATTATTTATTTTTTACATTAAATTACAAAAAAAATTACAAAACAATTTTGAAACTTTTCTTGATATTTTTTTTTGAAAACTAGAGAAAAAACACACAATTTAAAAAAAAAAAACGTTTTGTTTGGATTATTTTTCGCAAAGTTATAGGCATTTGAAAATTGCGAATTTTGAAATATGCGAATTTTGAAAAAAATTCATATCTCATGACTATGTTGATAAAAAAATTTGAAAAAAATTATGGTAGCTTCTTGCGATGGGTACTATAATATATCAAAATTTCAGCCAAATCAAAAATCCAAAAGTTTTTAGTGGCCCACTTGGCATGGAATGACCCATATATACCTTTATACTTTATATTTAATAGTTATCTCAATATTACCCTATGAAATAAATTATTATTTATCTCACACACACACACACACACACACACACGCACACGCGCACGCGCACGCGCGCGCTCACACGCACG